TGTACAGAGTACACAAGGAGTTTCTCATATTTCTGCTTTTCTGTAGTTTTGTCAGTGTAAACACATGTTCTCATGGTGTAAGCACATCTCAGCTTTTGTCTCTTGTCACCTTGGTGAGGCTACAATAGAGACGTCACAATGGTGGTAATGTAGAGAAGACATGAGCTGGAGTAAATCCAGGCACTCCCTCATGGAGTCACCTATTAGGCTGTGGGAAGTGGGGGACGGCTGGATGGACGGATATAAATGGAATGAACAAACAAACAGTCAAAGAAGGCCTCACTGAGTCGATGCTGACACAAGACTCTTCCTCCGCTTTGTTGTGTGATGGAGTTCAAAGGGCTTAACTCCAAACCCACACATCAGGGTGGATGATTGCGCATGTAGATTGAAATATTTTGAGATTTTTGTTGTTGTTTCAGAGTGAATGCACTCACAGGAAGTTGCAATTTATTCTTCCAGTGACAAACTGTTTATCTGTTTATGTTTTGTTCTGTTTCAGGCACTAATTTACGAGGTCAGGTTAACAAACAAATCTGAACCACATGAAATTTTTAACAGAATTACACAATACATGGTTTTAATCTGATTCACCATTGGAAAGCATTTTGTAATCATTGGCACTCTCAAGGGGGACAGGAGGGGGCCATGGCCCTTCCTGCCAGCTGATATTGCGTGAGAGGCTGAGTACACCCTGGACAGGTTGCCAGAGTATCTGACACGATGCTGTCACAAAAGCCCTTTTTAATCGTGCCATAAAGACACTCCAAATCCTTTCTTCATGCCTCCTTTGCATTTTTAGAACCAAACAATGGCAGCATCATGTTGCTCCATGTGTGATTTAAGACAGCATGCCAGGACTGTGGAATCAAAAGAGGCGTGCCGGGCGTGGCATGTAACACAAGCGTGTCAGCCTTGACCAAAGCAATGGCATAGCATGGCAATAACAATTATTTACCTGCCTGTCATGTGGCGGCTGATCTCATGCTCTGCTTGGAGGGTAAGGAGCTCCTGCACCTCATTGTTTTCCCAGTTTGAGGACATGGTCACATTGAAATCTCCCGTGGTGGGCCGCACGAACATGTCATCAAAACATCACACCTGTGGTGCCCATGATCCCGTCCTGCTGGTTGTGCCATTTACAAAAACTGCAGGACGGGATCATAAACATTGTGTTGGCGCTGTTACTGCCCCTGTTCCGGGGTCAGAGGCGATTGTACCTTATATGCAGCACAGCGAGGCAGCATAACGGCACGATGAAGGGGGCAATTGGAACAGACAACCATTCACGCCCACATTCACACCTTTAGAGTCACAGACTAACCTAACCTGCATGTCTTTGAGTACATGAAGAAAACCCACGGTGACACGGGGAGAATAATTGAACCCAGAACCCTCTGGCTGTGAGGCAACAGTGCTCAGTAAATCATTCTCAGTAAATCTTTTGATCCTTAGAATCAATGAAAATCAAATCAAAGCTGTTTATTTGTCTTTAAGGAAAAGGACAACCAGCCTATTTGAAGAACAACGAATCATCTTACACATGTATACATACATAACACATTATAACAGGATTGTTATAGAGCTCAAAATGTTAACTGTACCAGTATTTGTCTATGCACATCAGATGATAAGTAATCTGAACTGTAAAAAAAGAAACCAAAGTATATTCCTAACTCTCGCACTGACATAGTTTTCAACTTGCCATATGCCTCAACAGCGAAACTGAATCCCTGAAATTCATTTATGGCTTTTCAGTGGCCCCATCTAGCTACATCTCTAAAACATTTCTGGTGGTGCTACTACTTGTAAATTAGTTTTAGAGGTACAGTGTACATGTGCTTATTATTATTCAGTTCATCTTTATTATTACATAAGACAAAACATTTTCACAGATAAATAGGAGTGAGTGTAGAGGAATGTGTGTGTGTGTGTGTGTGTGTGTGTGTGTGTGAATGCTGTGAGGCAGAGAAAAGCCACTTTGACAGAGGTGTGTAAAACACCAGCTCCGGGAGGCAGACACTGATGGGCTTAGTGAGATTCAGCAATGTGGAAACTGGCGTCGCACAAACCATTTTCACATGATGTCACATTTTAAGCATTGTTTCTGCTGCTCGTTCATCACACCTTTTTGTAAAGCAGCACAAGGCCAACAAACTGAGGGCTAACTCAGTGATCAGACAACAGGCTATATTTTTTCACGCTGGCTTCCCCTTCATCACACTACAATAACAGTTATTGTTGTGGTTATTTCATGGACGTGTATGTACAGTGAGGTGTGTTATATGCATAGCTGCTTCAACCACAACAACTGAGCTGTGTTTGGGGTGAATAAACTCATTGTCACTTGCTAGCTTTTGTGCTTTCCTCTACGGTTATCTCCCTCTTCCTGTCCTGATTGGGCATCCTTTCATTGGCTTTGCCTGTGGATGCAATTGCCAGTCAAGAACCAGCCATATATGGGGAAATGCCCTTTTTTCTCTCTCTGTCTCTCTCTCTCTCAATTTCTTTTCCACCATCATATTAGACATCACCTCCACTTTCACACTCAAAAGGTCAACCACTGTAATAGAACTCATAGTTGGCCGGGAGCCATGAAATACTGTAGGTTAAACAGGAGCAGACACATCACAACAAACTTTTTCTTTGCGCATAAATCCCGAGAAAGCATGTTGAATGAGCTCCCATAAAATAGGTTTTATCAGACCTTGTCCACATGCCTGTTTTTACTACGAAGGAGAAAAATTACAGGGTCTTCGTTGAGCTGTAAACACAACCACGCTTTAAGTAATGAAAACAAGGTGGGCGAAAGTGATAAAAGCTAACCTTGATCCTCCTGGGTCTCCGGGGAATAAACCATTTCAAGATAAATAAATGCTTCATCTTTCTGTAAAATCGTAACAGCTGCCAATAAAAACACAAGTGTGGCTATATTTGGCAAAAAAATCTCACAAACAGCTGCAGTTTAACTGTTTTAGTAAACAAAGGCAGATCTGCATGCAGATACCTTTTATGTGAGAACAATTTTCTGTGTGAAACAAACTCCCCAAATAAATTCCCAGCTGCTTTGACAGACAGCCTTGTGAAAAAAATCAAGTTGAAAGAGAGAAAAGTGAAACAAAGAAAATAATTTTGTGCTCTGAAAAGGAATGATAAATCGCCTGGCTCATGTTTCTTTTGCTTCCTCTGTTTATAACGTATGATGCTTCAGTGCGCTCCGCTAACACAGACGCTGGAGTTGGTTGTGTAAGTTGGTCGGGGCCAGATATGCCTCCCGGTGTCTTGGAATGAGCTCAGTAGCGGCCTCACCAGTCATCAGGTCTGCTGAGGGGTCTTGAGTTAAGCAATGCAGACACATTGCTCAGTGTAGTAAAGCTCCTGGCTCCAGGTCTGATTTATTCCAACTTTGGTCAGGGCTGGGGGGCTCCGTCACTCTTCAAAGCCACTGGATACACTTCTTGGCTGACCCTAAATTGATTCAAAGAGGGAGGTTTACCTGTTTCCTTGCCCTTGTGACAACCACACGGAGGAATAATTTATTTCTCTATGCCCCTCTGTAATGAAGAAGTGACCTTGAGTTAAGACATCAACCTTGCTTCAGCTTGGAAACCATAAGCATCGGGACATTCAGCATAAACACACCCTCACTAACACACACAGCAGGATTACAAAAACGCAGTGACCTATCCTACAGGCCATCTATCATGTGCTCTGACAAGGGGGGGATGATGGGTGTTGGGGTGATAATAGCTACTGTCAGATCTGCTAGCCTCGGGAAACAAGACAGAGTCACAGGGAAATGCTCTGCAGCGATGAGTCTAATTTTAAAGGGTATTTGTGTCATTTATTGGAGAACATTCATTATTTAGCTGTTGTAATGCGCACTAATGGCTGCACGGACAGTATAATGCACAACCAAAGTGTGCTTGGCCTCGCCCATCAGTCTGGAAGGCTGGATGGGTCTGAGATCTGGCCCTTTCAGTGGACAGGAATCATCCTGTGACCTTTCAACTTCCTGGCAGGAAGAGGAAAATACATGAACACCCTGAGGGTTTGGGAGAAGTTCATCTATTTCCTGATATAACAAAGTAAAACACGGGACGTTGTTGCCGTAGCCTTTCGTTTGGCAGAGAATCAAAGCAGAGCCTCGCGTCTGGGGAACAAATGCACACTCCAGCCAGACAGAGGAAAAGGTGAGGCTTCTCCTTTTGACCCAGACGAGCACTCCTGAGACACCTTAAAAGCATCCAAGTATTGTCCTGAAGACTCGCCGACACGCTCTCTCATGAAAAACGGACATGTTGAACTGGCTCAACAAGACATTAAAAGAAAAATTCCACTACTTAGGAACATCTTGACGGAAATGAATAGTTGACCACATCAGTAAATTCTACTCTTATTTTATACTCACAGAAAGTCATCACATCTATGTATGTACAACAGCTTATATAATCATACTTTAATAAAAAAAAATACTGTTTTAAGTCTGTCATGCAGTTGAGGGGCATAATACATTACTCTTTACACTGAAGAAATGCAATACAAAAACTGTACATGAACATGAGGCAGTACCAGAAACTGAGAAATATATATACTGTATATATATATATATATATATATATGTATATATGTGTGTGTGTGTGTGTGTGTGTGTATTTTCATTTATACAACAATAAATAAAAAGATAAAAGAATGCATGGCTCATGGTGTGGTATAACCAATGACTCCTGCTGTGGTGGAACAGTAGCTCTGTCTAAGAATAACATGGCTGACATCATTCAGAGATTAATCTAGTAAGGGAGGCCCCTCTGAAATTGTCTACTGATGTAACAGGCACTTGGTTTGACTGGGAGTATTTTCACTGTTGGTGCGCGGTTTGTCTTGAACTGCCGAACAGTCTACATGACATGCAGTAGTTTCTATTTGCAACTCATAGAGTGGTGCAGGAATGAGTCCCAAAATGCAGAAATGAGTTTTAGCACTCCCATTTCCCTTGTGTCAAAGTCAGTGGGGTTTTTTTTTTTTGGTTAGATGCCTGAAGTAAAGTCTGTGGTTAACGCAAGCTTAAAAGACTTTAACATTTTGTTCTGTGACATAAATACCCCATTTGTAAATTTTGGAGCCTTTAAGTGTAACAAGTGAACACAGTTTCACAGCCTCGTGGTGGTGGTGATGTTAGGTCACGTAACTATGGTGTTGTTTATAGCACAATGTTGGCTTTTTACTTGTAGTGACTACATTTACACTTCAAAGTCATAAGAGTGGTTTTCATTTGTGAAGATTATCTTGCTGAACAAAACATGCAAGAACTATAAACTTTTGTTTGTGATAGAGCTTATTTTCTGCAATAATCCAAAATCCAATGCAAAAATCCCACTGGCTTTTTTCAAGGGAACCAGGGTGATGCTATCTTCTATATTGACCTACAGAAAAAACGTCACCCCTGCAGCACTCTATGTGTCGTATCTGTTGAAGCTTTGCAATGACTATTAAGACCTGAACTGACAGAGTTGAGCTTTAAAAAATCTTTGGTTTGACATCCCCTTGTTGTTTTCTGTTACACATTCAACATTCATCTTACACAAAAAGTAGTAATATATAATGTGCCTTACATTTTTAATAAATATACTTTACATTGTTCATCACTGTGCATGGAATGCTGTTTGTTTCCTTCCTGCATCTTCTGCATAATGTTCATTAAGGAGAGCATGACAGGAAGGTAATTTTATGTACCTCATATGTTGTGTTTGTACAAAACACAATCAGGTAATTGTGTCCCGGTTAGTTGCAGAAATTTGGATTGTTCATTTGTATTCTTCTAGGTTTAATCCCCCTTCTGTCACCTCTGGTTCTTTTGTGTGTGTGTGTATGTGTTTGTCTGTCTGCAGTAATCCACGCCATTCCAGTTCCTCGTGGGACAGTGTGTTGACTCTACCGCACTGCCCTCATGAGTGAATCTGCGTCCATCTTGCTAATCACTCTTTTTCCATGGAACTGGATTCCTTCTGAGCGAATATGAATTCAGCCTCAAGCATCCGCCTCTCATCCACTTTCTCTAATTCAACAACGTTTGTTCACATTATTAGATTTCTCCTGCAGCCTTCTCAGGGCTGTTCCTGCAGCTGTAACATCCATGTCATCCCCTGTCTGTTCTCAGTCCAGCAGCAGTCTCGCTCTCTCCCTCTCTGCCCGTATGTGTTTCTCTGTCTCTTTCCCTTCGCCTACTGCTTTGTTTTCTCTACACCCATAGCCCTGTCTGCTGCTTTGTACATTAGGCGTGCCGTAAGGCTATTAATGCAGTGATCCACCCCTTGCATTCCTGCTCCTCCACTCTGTCTGGGCAGGGAAAGAGTTTTTCTCGTATGAATCAATGCAAAGGGTCCTATCCACAGCTGAGGTGAAAATCTCTTTACTTTCAAGGCCATTTTGCATCACAGATGCTGTCACTGTATATTCCACAGTGCCCTCATCAAATGGTGTTGATATCCTCAATGACATCCTTCCCCTCTGCTGGGGTGGAGAGGACCGGTGATTACAGATAGAGGTCCTGTTGACAGTACAGCTGTCCTTTATTGTTGGAAACATCTGGTAGAGGTCAACATGCTCTGCTCTCAGGCTGCGACGCTGGAGGTGATGGTGGCAGAGTTATGTACAACGGCACGTCCTTGCAAAGGGCCCACGTGCATCCGTGCATGTCTTTTTCAAATATGTCTGTATCTGTTTCATCAGTCTCTGTCAGTACAGGCTGTCCTTGGTGGTGGAGGTGTGTGTGGTGGTGGAGTCGTCAGGCAGGGAGCCCCTGCGGCCAGCTCGTGACCGACATTGCAGCAGGTTCTGCATCTCTCTGGACACGCTGCTGGAGAAAGCTGTGTAGATCCACGGGTTGGTGCACGAGTTCAGACTGGCCAGCAGCATCAGGATGGTGAAGGCCACGCCTGCTGAGGACACACACAAACACACACATTGTAAGACAAGTGTGCAATGAAAAAGCAGGGACAAGTTCATACACAAGCATTAAAATGTCTGTTTTCACATGAACAACTTGGGACAGTTGATCACAGTGTACATCACATTGTTTTCCTCTACATTATGAAACAAACAGAAATATGTACAACATCTATTCAGTTTGAATGTAAACTGGTCATGATTATTGTTTGTTATTTTACGTCCTTCAGGAGCTGTAAATATCCCAGAGGGACAAAAATCCTGCATACTTCCTTTTTCAGTTTTTCCCTGCTAATAATAAGTCTTTTACATAACAACTAAAAATGCCTATTTTACCACAGACACTTGAGGACAATAGATGTGGAAAACTGATTTTAGAATACAAAGCTGATAATAATCAGCTGTGTGTACGTGTGCGTGCATGTGTGTGTGCACGATTGTGTGCCGGGAACAGGGGCTGCCTGCCAGTGAGGACTCATTCATGTGTATGCGTACTTGTATCCTCACACTTTGTATATGCAAGTGAGCTTCTGTGTGTGTATTTATGTGTCTTGCTCTGTGTGCCTGCATGTGATTTGATTGATGTGTGTAAGCTGCTGGCACATATCATTGTTGATGAAATGTCAACATCTGGCCGTGTTGCAAAATCAGCAGGGGATATAAACAGGTTATTTACAGGCCTCTGATGTTTGTCTTTAGCTCCAGATCAGAGGACACGCACCCAGTCCATACTATCAGCCACAACCTCAGGCTACACTAACCTCACTTGCTTCATCACTGGCTGCCAGTAAGGACATCAACAGATGCTGTTTGTGTACCAAAATGTACAGAGGCCAGAGATGTCATCCAGGGGTTTCTGGTTGTGGGTCAAAACAAACACTGTTTTTGACCTTGTATTTCACTCACTGTTGCCACAGCTTAGCAGGAGCTAGGTATCCTTGGAATAATGAATGAGTACGCCGCCTCACTAAGAATGACAACAGCATTGATCAGAGGATGTTGTTGTTGTTGTTGTTGTTAACCAGACCCGATGGTTAAGCTTTTGTTTTTGGCTGCTTATAGTGCAAAACAGAAAGTCTATGCACATTTAGGGCAATTAAATGGATAAACTGGGCTAAGGAACATTAACCCACCTGGGAAAACAATTAAGGTGATTCACAGGTAATGAAAAGATGTCTGCTTTTGTTGCTTTGTGAGGTTTATTGCATGAATTGGTGAATGTTATCCACCTTCTTTTATCATGGATAAAGAATGTATGTGACTGACCTTGGTCTGGAGGGTTGGGGTCCCAGGCCGCCCAAAGCTGCACAATGAAGAAAGGTGACCAGCAGATAGTATAGACCAACACGATGACCAGAGTCATCCTCACCGTCTTGGACATGGCTTTAGTGATGCTTGGAGGCGGAGTGGCTGGAGGGGGAGGGGGGGCATAGTCAAGGGAGCAGCGTGGTGAGCCTGAGGCCAGCTCGTCATGGCAATCTGAGTTGTTCAGTGCACAGTGCTGCTGTGTAGGCAATGCTGTTGTCACATGTTCCCCACAGCAACTGTTGTACTGAATAGCTGTTGGTACGTAGTCGTAACACTCTTGGCTGCTATGGGTGTTACTGTGTGGATTGTTATTCACACCCTTTAAGAGCTGTCCCCCTCTGCCATCCCTGACCCCTCCTCCGGATGCCCGTCTCCCCCTCTCCCTGGCACGTTCGTCCACCTTCTTAAAACTGTGAAAGCGGAAGAAGATTTCGTTCTTCTTCAGCTCAGCCATCACCATCCTCTCTGACTTCAGGTAGATGTTATTGTGAATCTCTCGGAAGATTCTTATCTGAAAAATAACAAATTTCAAGAATTAGCAGTGAAACAAACCATTCCATCATTCGCAGACTGAAGTGCCCGAGGATTACGTTTTGTGACTGGCACGCGCCAGACTCAGATTCTTGTCTTTGCTCTTGTTTTTTCTTTCTGGCAATAACAGTGAGAGGAAACTTGAAACGAAAGAGAGAATGTGTGCTGGCCTTCACCATCAGCAATAAACCAATGTCGGACATTTTTATGTCATACTGCCACTCTTCCACTCCAATCAGAGAAGCTACTATAAAATTTTATTGCAGTAAAATGGTTCTTCACGCTCATTTGGGAAACTAAAACAATAATATGAAACTGAATAGTATTAATAAGTCATTCATACTTGTAGCTTTTTTAGTTTATTTTTACACTTTTAAAGGTTTGCTACTGCCAACCGTTGATCTTCTGCCACCTTTTACTTCTTTAAACAGCTTTATGAGGGCATGATTTAGACACTGCGGCTTTCATACTTCTGAAAAAAGTGTCGAAAGAAACCTTTCGATTTGAAATCCGATAATGAAAAAAGGTCAGGGATTCTATGTTTGGCTGAGATCTGGTACATTCCACTTCCTGGCGGGAGGTTCTCAGAGTGGGCACATTTTCTGAGCAGCCGTCTCAGCAGTGGTCCTTCAAGTGCTGTGTTAATTAGGGGAAATAGCTGGACCCTGGAAATATCTTTCCCTAAATAGAGCAGCAGGGCTGATGGGAGGCAGCCCAGAATGCCAGTCCACCATGGGATGCTACATAACACCAACCATGGTCCCCCATGGGTTATCAAACAATGCATGCCAAATGCACCCTAAATGAAAACAAAACAGAATTTCATTCATGCCACACGCTTCATTATCGGATAAGGTTGCCTTCAGTATGTAATCCTAGTCAATGGTGTTGTGTGTGGGCGGTGCAGAGATCGAGAGACGAGCCAGTACAACCTGTATTACCTGACAGATGGTAATGATGAGTGCGGGCAGGAGGAATACAGCCACGGTCATCCAGGTGACGTAGGCCTTCAGCCCCCACGGCTCAGCAAAGTGACCCCAGCACTCAAACTCTCCATGAGCCACTTCTGACCGAGAGAAGATGAACACCTGAAAGACCGAACACAAGTAGGGTGGTCAGCACACCCGCAGACATGACTGTCAGTTTCCTCCTCCATTAGCTGAACTGCAATGACCTCACCAAGCTAAAAATAGACCAATATCTTGAGTTCTACTGTAGCGATCAAGGTGTGCACACCTGCTGAGTTCTCATTTCCTATTTCACCATGTGTTTTTGTGTGTGTGTAAGGTTCTGTTTGTGTGTGTGTGTCCATCCCTTCCTACCTGCGGTATGCTGAGAACTAGCGCCAAGCCCCAGGCCACCATGACAGGGGTGTTCCAGCGGGACATCGCTCCCCCACGGTAGGCCTGCAAAGGGCAGCAGATGGCCTGGTGTCGGTCTACTGTCATGGCAACTATCATGTAGGAGGAAGCAAACATGCCCACAATCTGCAAGTACTTGATGGACCGGCAGAGAAAGTCAGGCCCCTGGAACTTTTCTGTGATGTCCCATATTAGCTGGGGAAGAACCTGGACAGATTAGAAAAGAAAGTTACTGATGTAAAAGTGGTTCCTGGAATAGTGGAGCAGTGTTTTTAGTTTGGCATTTAGAAATGTAGAAAAGAAACACTAAAGGACAAGTCTGGTAAGTTTGTACTGTATTTTTGTCTTACTGTTAAAAAAAACCCATGAAAAGACCAATAATGAATTGATTCCCAGTGTAGCCAAGTCTTCATGTAGCTTATCTCTCTGTGCCATATACTTTCATTATTGTCCAGAAACACACTAATGAGTCATACTGTTACACTGGGTGACATGGCACAGTAGTATATTTTGCCCACATACATCATCCTGCTGCTATAAACACTCCCTAGAGCAGAGGTGGTTTGTGGTTTATGGCCCGCAACAGCCCAAATTGAGCTTAAGTAGGCTGGACCAGTGAAACCATTGCATAATAAGAAGAACATTGTGAAAATGTTTATCCATTTACAAAACAAATGATAAACAGCCCGCGATATCCTCAGAAAATGTGTGCAAATTCAACAGTATGTCTTTCCACATTCAGTCAGGCTACTTCTCACTTTCATTACATGTGCTATTTAAGTTCTCTCTGTCCATACAGTATTTAGAATTTTGTTTCACGAAAAAGATCTTCATGCCTTAAAATGGTTTAGATTAGAACTCTAACCTTCGCCTCATTTAGTATGCACCTGCACAGATGTGTGAATATGCAAATTAGTCAAGCTCCACAGCAATTGAGCGTAGCATCTCTCCTTCGCCTCAGCTCATCAAACACACAAACCTCTGCTTGTAAACAGTGATACATAACATGAGCCTTCAGCTTGACTACTACTGATCAAACAGCTCATAATGTGTTGCTGATCGTTAATTTGCATATCCTAGGATGGTGAAGGCATGACCTGCCCTACTTTCACTCCAATTAGCTAGTACTCATTGCCTTCGTTGGTTGGGTTGGTTAGGTTTAGGCGAGAGGAATGGGATTGGTTACGGTTAGGGTGAGAATGTCAGGGTAAGCCAGTCATAAGGTGGAGTAAACAAGAGTAGGGCGGGTCATGGCTTTGCTATCGTAGGAAACGCAAATTTGCCTCCTGATTGCCAGCTCTGACAAGTCGAAGTGAAAGTGAAACTTAACCTGCAAAATACCGATACATAGCTGCTGTTGGGAGAAGTCTGCTTTCTGGTCTGTCTGCCAGACAGGGATTTCTTGGTTAAGGTTAGGAAAAAACATAATGGTTTGGGTTAAAAATAATAAATATTCTGTCAGAAAAGGCAAACTTCTTCCATGAGCTACATAGCTACACCTGGCTTCTCCTCTGATAACCCATTGTTTTGCAATTTAACAAGATTGGTTCCTTCGGTTTGTGATGTCACAAACCCTGGAAGTCAGAATCCCCATTATTGACACTGTCACTGATACACTGCAGTTCTGAGGTGAAAATGCTCAGCTATGGTGCTGTAGCACATAAAATAACCAAGTGGGTTTTTAAACGTGTGTATGTTTTTTTTTTAAGTTAAAGATTTACATGCTGAGCAGGAAGTAGTGGGTTTGGGGGCAAGAGTCACACAGTACTGAGAAACGGTCTGACACATTGTTGGTCACTGGATTTGCTGACGATAAGACAAATATGGAACACCGAGACCTGTTGAATAGAGGCATGACCAGCTGAAATACCTTAAAGTTCAAAACAGGAGCACAGAGTTCAAAACCATTTATTCACCTCTTAAGAATAGGTTAACTTTTGTTGCCATAGTTTTTTAGTGTTGCTGAGCAATACGGGCAGCATACAACCCATCACATTAGTAGTATAAATCACAGTTATAAAGGCAGCAACACTATAAGTCCAATTAAGTTAAAGAGATATTTGCAATATGTGTCATCTTAAACAGATGTAACAACCTACTTAATGCTCACTAAAAGGCCAGATGTCCCTCTGAATTGCACAAGTCATAAATAATTCTGCTTAATGCAGCAAAGAGAAAAGCAGACAATTGCAACACTTTAAGGTCTGAGCCTTCATCTCTTTTTGAGATCACCAGAACAGAGGAGTCCTATATATATATATATATATATATATATTTTAAAGATGAATGTATCAACAAAGTGACGAGGCCGTTGTATCTGGCATCTCTGTTGAACTGACCTGAAAGAGGGCCACCGCCAGGTCAGCCACACACAGGTTCACCATGAACACGTGCATTGGCGCATTGTGCTTCCTCCTCCTCAGCAGCACCCACAGCACAAAGCTGTTCCCCAGGGTGGTAAGAGCCAGCACCACCCCGAGCACTGCGATCTCTGCCCGGGCAAGGCCCAGGTCCCTCATCCTGGGCTGGGGCAGGGTGTGAGGCGTGGTGGTAGTACCATTCTCAGGGAAGATCCCGAAGAAGGACCCCCCGCTGTGAGAACTGTTCAGGGAGTTCAGTTCAGAGACAAACAAAGACGAGGAGGAGAAGTTGCTCTTTCCTGTGGCGACCAGAGAGGAGAGGGCCAACCCATCCCAGCCCGTTTCCACACTGATGCTTTCCATTCCTGAAAGATACACAAACCAAGTGTTAATCTGTGAAAGACCATAAAATCTGTTTTTGTTTCTGGGTTGTTTCAGGGGCAGCCTGCAAAAAATAGACCCCAGGAGTTTCACTAGCGCAGGGTCATATGACTGTTTGCGGCTGGGCGTTAACAATAAACATTTTTCATCAACAAACAATTTACTTGTTCTGTATAATCATAATTTCCATGTCATGTGTGACCCTTAATCTTGTCAGCTGAGTTTTCTTTTAAATTATCATTTCACTGGAAATCCAACCCAAAACACTTGGGCCTTTTATTTGAGATGAACAACAACATTATAAATAGCTTATTTTATGCAATTTTGGGAAATCTGAGTGGAAGTAATGAAATCCAGAGGCTGTAGCAATCATGCTGCTCATGTGAATATCGTTGTGTTTTTGGTGCTGTCTCCAATTTTTTAAATAAGTCCTCAGCGTATCTGTATCTCTCGAAGCTGCCCGCTCCATTTGACGCAAGTCCAGAATGGTTTATTTTCTTTTTCATATTTTCTCAAGGTTGATTTGACAGCTTTCTCCTCTATCCCACCACTCTTATTCTTTCACCTCATAATCGCTCTCATCCCATGCTTACCCCCATACATTCCTGAGTTCCCCTGTTTTTGTTCCCCCCCCATTCCTCTGTTTCTCTTCTCTCATACATCCAGCCATCCTTTTCTCTTACCCCTGTAACACTCTCTTTTAATCTTAATAAACTTTATGTTTGTTTTTCTTTGCTTATAAATAAATGTCTCATAAGAAAAGAAAGCTGATATGACAATTTAAGAAACGGTCATGGGATGCTGGGGGGAAGCCTTGGTCAAATAAACTGCATGAAGAAGAAAGTCTGGGAGAGAAAACGGAGGAAGATGAAAGAAGAGTGATGAAGGCAGAGTGGAGAAAGGGCAGGGAAAAAAGGTAAAAGAATAGAGTTGTGGAAAGAGGATGATAAGATAAGGGAAGAGGGTGTTGAATGTGCCTCTACAGAGAGCTATGGTCTGTTTCTTATCATAGAGTGTGTGTTGATTGACACCACGTTGATGTATTATTTTGACTGATGTGCAGGAGTGGTTAGGTATACAAATGTTACACTGAATGGGCGCTTGGAAACTTTCCACGTCTAAAAATAGGAGGCAAACAATAGTCATAGTATTGTGCAACTCGGCATGACTAACAAGACATTACAAGCTTGTTCCCACTACTCAACTGAGGCCTAATGCCCAATTTGCCCGTAATAGAGCACTCACTACTGGGTGTGTGAGATAACACAGCTGATATTGTCGGGCGTCACATGCTGGCTTGGCCGGAGGAATGTATTCAGATGAACGCATGACAAGCCAGGCCAGCTGGACCTCTCTACCCTTGCCTGAAGGTAGAGCCGTGAGAAGAAGAGAATCTGAGTGGCACCCTCTGAGTCAAACAAGGGCTCTTTGGGTTGAGTGACGCCCCACCGCCGCACCAGGCGACCACATCACTGCCATAAATGGTTAAACCGAGTCTAAGCCTGCACTGGTTTAGTGAGTTTTTCACATTCTGCTCAAATATTGTCCCTGTCTGAAGGTCGTTTGGATCAAAGCTGGTAATATTATTTCTTATTATCTGTTTATTATTTTTTCCTTTTCAAGTTTTTTTTTTCATTAGGGGTTTAGACAATGGGGCCTTTTTTCATCAAGGAATCTCCTGGCCTCTCTTTGTCAGGACCTGAGGAGCCTTGTGCCCCTCTCTGTAATTACAGCATAATTCATGAGAGGATTCTTTGTGCTGCCGTAGTCCTTTATACCCACTATATAATCTCATTATGTATATTTGCCCATGTGACAAATTTCTGAAGTGAAGTCCCCTTTCTCAGGCATGCCTCGGTGAAGATAAGGTGTAATGACTTAGGGGGGAGGGAGAAATTAATCCACAGTATTACAGTGATGCTAGACTGATATCCCCAATTGAATTTGATAAGATGAAATAAAAGTATTAAAGGAGCAGTGTGTAGGATTTAGTGGCATCTAGTGGTGAGATAAAACGTCTCCCATGTGCCGTGTGTGAACTCCCGGTTAGAATTCCTTCAGTGTTCATTGCTCAGGAGATTTTTACGGGAGCCAAATTATCCACAGAGGTCTCGTCCTCTCCAAAACAAACAGATGAGGTGATTAAAACCGGTAAAAATGCTGAACAAAGCAGCTTCATGTTACCAATCAGCGTTTTAATGAACCCGTCTTGCCCAGGACCTTCAACTGTGTGCTCCCTTTTTTCGCCGATAAGTTAAGATCCAGACAGTCAGCAGGTTTTTTAGCAAAGCTGAGACATCCACAAAGGTCTCCTCTTCTCCAAAACAAAAAGACCCTGTGATTTAAACCAGTAAAAACACTTCAAAAAGCAGCTTCACGTTTAAAAATCATTGTTTTTTTTTTGTTTTTTTACGGTGGCTGATGTGAAAATGCAAAAATGCAATGACCCTATCTAGAGCCAGAGTTTGGTTTGTCCGATCTGGGCTACTCTGCAACATGGTAGACTCCATAAACAAGGACCTGCTCCCAATGTAAATATAAACGGATCCTTCTTAGGTAACAAAAACACGATGATTCTTATTTCAAAGTGATTATACACTAAAGAAAACAGACTTATCATATTACATTCCATTTCTGCCGATATATCCGCCCAAACCCTTCACGCTGAACCTTACGGGAGCATGCTCAATGATGGCGTCAAGACTATGGGAAAGTGTGTGAGGCATTCTCTCCAGAACAGATTGATAAAGTCCTGTTCCACATCTAAGTCTTATTCTTATAAATTCTGAATGAGCCCCTGTTTTCCCAAACCCCTCAAGGACACAAAGTATTTTCTCCAAATATGCTCATGTCTCATTTGCATGCTTTGTGCATCCAAGAAATCAAGATGGATTGTCTTGAAATTGCTCAATGGCTCCACTACAGGAGACCCACGCATGGCTCAAAATTTCTGGCACTGATCTTTCCTTTCCTCAGAGGAAATTCCTTAAACTGAGGGTACATAGAGACAGTAAATACTGTCTGCAGATCTGTGCTGGATGCAGTTAATTCCTTTACATACCCTGTCTCTGAAAATGGATTCTGCTTTGCTCTCTCTTTAAAAACACAAGCACAGCGCAGCGTTCCCGTCTGTCTGATCGACTTACTGCAAGGCACAAATTATTCCATCGCTCTGTGCTGGACGGAGCAAAGACACTGCTTTTAGCAGTTAGTGCAGTGCGTCGCTTCCTCTCTTTACTTTAAAGCTTTCACTGTGATTAATGATGGAGTCAATTCCTCTCCTGCACTCCTCTCCAGAGGCAAACCTGTGTGCAACCATCCATTTTCGTGTCCTCTCCATACACCGCTTTTCCGCACCAAGGACTCAGTGCCTCAGGGGTGATAGTAACAGGTATTTAAAATGCCCCCAAAAACATTATAGCTACCAAGCATTCACATCTGTCAACATCCCAGTCCACTTTTCTCGCTGTTCACACATGTTTTGGTCATTCTCTTTGACAGCCTACGTCATGTTTCAGATATGCTGAGATTCAAATACTATCGGTTAATGTCAAAGTCCTCTTAAAGCATCTTGAAGTATGTAAAATACCAAATGCCTGAGAAACATTTCTAGGATGAGATCATCACTGCTGTGTTTCTTTGTCAAAATGACTTATTTGGCCATTTTGTCAATTTGACAGATGTTCAAAAAAGGGTAGTTTGGTCATAAATCTGATGTTATATAAGCACATGTGATGTTAAGATTGCGTGTTGACTCAGACTTACAGGATGTGTTGGTTTACAGCAACTAAAACAAATATGAACAAAAATGTTCCACGCAACAGAAAGGGTATGCTTAAAGGACAATAACAGTATGTTTGCATCTTATTCTTTATATATAGTTGCCATTTTTGTAGATTATTTGCAAATTCAAGTTATACAATATAAAGTTTTTTATTTATTTTATTTTATTTTATTTTTTTTGTATTTTTTGTGTTTTCCTGCAGGCCTAAACTACCCTTTGTTTTTTATTATTTTCTGTGCAATCTAAAAATGAATCAGCAGACTTTAAACTTGCATCATCCACTACACTTAAAAACTGGTCTGCATCAATATCTGTCAGTGTTGAATTATTGTAGTGTGATAATGCACTTGGAGCACAGATTGATTTGAAGTCTGCACTCCTTTGACAAAAACCAATGCAAACTGGATTGGCACTGTGAATGTTCACGTAACAATCATGTTTCTGGGGATGCTAATGGAGTTTCATATTGTGTGAAATGGATGACTGGAACGGTACACAAATTACATGCAAATTTTAACAACACAAAAGAAAGGTTTGCAAAACAGGCAGTTGTGATGTAAAGTGTGAGGAATTTGATGCAAATCCACTGCGACCCTAAAATCAAAACTACATATTTTTCCTCTTACCTGTAGTGCTATTTATCAGTCGAGATTATTTTGGTGTGAGTTGCCAAGTCTCCAACACTCACGTAGAGATGCCTGCCTTCTCTTGAATATATGGAACTAGATGGCCCTGGGCTTGTGGTGCTCAAAGTGCATGCCAACAAAATATACATATATATGGGAACTATTTTCTTGCTACTAAACTACACCCGTCAATCATGCCACCACACACAGAAGGAAGTGTGCATCTACTGCTAGCTCACCTAGCACCACCGAGCTAGCTAAAGTTACAGCTTAGCTGAAGAGGACACCATAATGTTGACATCTTGCACTGTTACGAGTACGAGCCTCTCATCCATGAGTAGATACACACTTTCTTCTGCTCCATGATACAGGTGGCTGGTAGAGTTTGGTAGAAATAGAATAGTTTCTACATAAAACTGTTCTCAACAAGGTCTGTGGATTATTTTGAGTAATCGGGTCATGATTTCTGGAATGAGACACTGCTGCTGAATTTTTCAAAGATATATTTTTGTGCTTTGAGCACCACAAGCTGATCGAGTTCCTGAGAAGTGAGAGGACAAATTATGTGTTTTTGATTTGGGTGTTTAGTGTTGTACTCATGGTCAAATCAGATAAACACCCTCTCTTACATGACCTGAGCACTTTATTTGCATTTAACGACACTGACAGCTGTGAATCTAACCTGTTTGGCAGATTTAAAGCTAATCAGTAGCTGACGTGAAATGGTTGTGACATCAGTGGCAGACAGGCAAACAGGTACTTATTAGCACTGTGTGCAATAATCCAAACATAATGAAAGATCCATTACTGCCCCTCCTGTCTTGTGTCTGCATGTCAGTCCCTTGATTAGTTCCCTTTGACCACATTTGACTCAACCTGATTAATGAGGACTTCTCTCTGTCCTCATTAGCAACCCGGTGTGTACTCACACAACCTGTTGCTAATTTCCCCCTCCAATCTTCTCTTCTTCCTCTTTTTTATTTCCTCCCCTCACTTGTTAATTTCCTTTTTTTCCCCACGTCCTTTCACCTGTTCTCCGTCTGTCCTAATGAATCCACCACCTCCTGTCATTGAGGATCAGAACTGCAGAGGAAACTGTGTCTGATGTGCTTGTTATTTCTGTTTGATTTTAATTATCACCCTCATTAATAGACATTGGCAGCGGGATTAAAATGGCCTGGCCCGATCTGCATAAATAGACTGAAAATAAACATATGCATCACACATTAGATCACACCGTGTGATATACTTAAGCGTTGGTATTCTGCTTTTATCGGTGTGGCTGGAGACTTTATTTACATACTGGTCAATAGATCCTTACACAATAAAGGTCTGGGTGAGTCATGTGGTGCCACAGGCTGGGCTGCGCAGCATTTCATCTGCATGATAAAGCAGATATCATCACACTCTCCTCTTAAAGACCCTCATATCAGTAAATGAGTTCCCCATTGGCACTCTCATATGCAGCATATATACTCCCCATCTGAATGGGTCGATTCAGTGACAGGTGGGCGCTCTGTATATATTTATGCATTTCAATTTGTGGGGGCATCAGCTGTCCTCATTAATTCAGAGCTCTGTGACCATGATTTATTCCTCCCTTTCAGTGTATGTAACTAGCCTCCGGACACCAGACTGCAGCCCATGTGAGAAATAAAAGCAAACACTTTGTTCTTTTACTGTCTTGCCCAAACAACCCATTAAATGTTAATCATGAGGGGCCACACCTCATTGCACATGCTGATATAACCATTACCTGCCAACATTTCAGCCGTATGTGCCGCTGTTGTACTTGAGATTTGTGCTCACAAACATAGCTATGAGTTTATTTCCATAATACACCAGCCAGTGGACACAACTCTCCAGGTCTGGTGTTGAAGAAGGTCCAACTTCCCCTTATCAGCACTGATAAAGCCTGCGCATAAGACCACTGACTGTTGCTCCTGTTATGTATCATTAACCAGCACACTGCCAACAAGCATGTGACCTAAACAAAAACAGGGCCTTTTTTCATGTCACATAGCTGTTATAAAATTCACAGTATTCCCCATGAAGAATGGAAACTGGGCCGCAGTGTTACCACAGCAGCTAAAACAGGCCGGGGAATGTGTAGCAGATATGGTCAGCTCCGTGCCACACGATGAAATGTTTCCCTGTTAGAGACCAAACTAAATTGACCATGAAAATAACAGTAATGATGATGATGATGATTTTTCCTGATGGGGGCCACAATCAAGGAAGTCATTTTGTGCATAATATAGATTGTGCCAAACACAAACACAGGAAAAGTGTAATAGAAAACAATTTTAAAGCACTCGAGTTGACACAAACAGCTTCCTGTTCTCATTCACAAAAAATGATGATGATCTTGCCAAACAGTGGTTTGTTGATCCAACTGACAAGCTGAAGGGATTTCTTTAATTGTCTAATTGCTATGACACTAGTGTAAACTGACAACACAATCTCCAGCGATGGGAGAGATACGGGCTCTCACTGAGAATGAAAGCTTCACTGTGAGGAAACATTTCAAATTTCTGTCTGTATGTAAAGTCATTAGTTGTGTACACAAATCAAGTCAGGCTATAAAGCAATTAACTTTGAAGTGCAGACTTGTGTTCACCATAAACACACAGCTGCTGTGGGACCACAAATCTTCTTTTAATCATCTAAAGACCTTTGATTTTAAAATACGGGTAGGACACACTCACACACGCACAAAGACACAGACACACGCACAAAGACACAGACACACACATTAAAGAAGAGCATCCAAGGTGAGTATATACGCCTCAGTCACTACTCACCTTGTTGTCAGTGCATGGTAAGCTTTCTCACGCGTGTCCTTTTCTCTTGGTGTGTGTTATGCTCTCGTCTTGTTGGCTGTGGGATGAAGCATTAAGAGCCGTCACCATTACAGTCCATTAACATTACATGCAAGAGCAAATCACATAAAAAAACCCTGACAATTTCCCTTGAGCTTTTTTAATCCACAGAAAAACTTAGAGGACCACACACATTTTTGAATTAGGCTGTCATAAAATATTTAAATATATAATAATATATAAATATATTATAAATAATTAATATATTTAAAATATTATTACAAGCATACTGGACATATGTTAACATTTATTAAATGTGTTGAAATCAGGACTGAGAAGAAAGTTAAAAACAAACTGTGACTGTCATTACTTCATCAGAAGTTTTATGTATAGTGTGTATATTTTTTTGTCAAATCAGCCTGAGTGATCATTTGAAATAAGCAGATAACAACATTCTGAAAATGAAGGTGTAAAACTCATAACTAATGTATATGTTTGCATTTTAGACCTATGTATAATCAATACATTAAATTGCTTCAGTCATAGGTGCACTTTCCAAAATAGATGTCCTGTTGTGGTACTGTTTCTAGATTTGTTCTCCTCTTGTCTTTTAATATTAATTATTAAATAAATGACACACATTGTCCTTCTTTTTAAAATATTTTTTAGGAAAACCTACTACTGTTATGTTAAGAGTACAAATGTTTTAGTAATCATAAGAAAAAGATTCACGACACTGATGGTGACAAGTTGGAAATGTAATGTGAAATAAAAGTCAAAGTCATTTTTTAAAAGGCTGAATACAGAGCCTGAGTGTCACACTTGTGTCTCGTGTGGACATGAGTTCCTGTAGATGTACAAAGAGATGACCTAGACTGATCAGTAAACAAATCCATTCCCACGCAGTGTGAACAAGTTTAAGTTCCAATAGACTCCCAGGCTGCAGTGTTGTAAGTCAATGGAGGAGAATTATTGAAGGATTTTAATTAGTATTTGTAGTGTAAATATCCCTATCAAAATCAGTATGAAAAATCAATCAGTCACCACAGAGTAAATAAAAACGCACTTACTTGTGATCCACTTGATACAGCTGTGTTACAAGAGGCAAGAGAGTTCCCCCCCAAAATATTCACTCACATCTTCAGTGCTGTCAGTCCAAGTCCCTCCGCTCAGCCTGCTATCAGCTGGCTCCTGAATGAACGCGTCCTCATTAAAGCCAGGTAGTTTTTTTTTATTTTCTGTCAGTGTGACAAACAATTTCTGCAAGCTCTGTGCAGGTCCTTTGTGTGCCTCCTGACCGTATTGTCCGCGCTGTGTTGTTGGAGTTCACAAGTGTATGGCAGAGTAATCCATTTGATAGCCATGGGTGTCCCGGCTCCTTGAGCGTCACGATATGCGCTCGCAATGTGCTGTGCCTCCAGCAACACCAGCAGAAATGAATCTGAGCCCCGTCTGCTCTTACCTCCCCCTCCCTCCCCTGCTATCCCCTCCTCCTGGGTCAACCCGCCTGTCCTCTAGGACTGAGGGTGGAGCATGGAGCCAGGAGTGGAGGGAGGGTGATATACATACCTATGAAGTGTATATGAGAAGGAGAGAGGGACAGTGTGTGTGTGTGTGTGTGTGTGTGTGTGTGTGTGTGTGTGTGTGTGAGAGAGAGAGAGAGAAAGACAGAGAGAAAGTGAGAAGTAGGTGGACAGTGAGACAAGGTACTAGGTGTATCTGCATGTGCACATGGTGTATCTGTGTGTGCATATATATGTGCAAACCTGTTTTCAAGTTAATGTGTGTGTGTGTGTGTGTGTGTGTGTGTGTGTGTGTGTGTGTGTGCCAGAGAAGCACCTCCTCTCATTGTAATGATTTATGCCTGATGTGAGTCATTGACACACATGCCACTCATGGTTTTATTCAAAGCTTTTCCTGTTGTGCTCTCTCATCTGCTATCTCCTTTGTTGATGGTGGACAAGGGCCGGTGCACTTCACCTATCCAGGAATGCCGATCAGCTGAGTCAGCCAGGTCACACCCTTGGTGTACACACTGCAGTAAAGGTTGGTGCAAAGAAAAAAACATGGCTGTCTCTTAGTTTTAATGTCAAGGCTCTTTCTCTCTCACACACACACGTGATGGTAGGAAATAGACTTGGCATGCACGCGCACACACAGGTGTAAACAATGAGTGAATTCATAAATTCAAACACTCTCACACACAAACTTCAAACACGTGCAGACACAAAGGTCCAAGCAAACAGGCAAATGCTGGCGATGGATCCACATTTATTTTGACAACTAAATTGCAGCTTCCTCTTACTTTTTCCTCTAAAAGCTGCAAGGAAACTGTAGTTCATTGACATTTTATGAGTCTTATATCATCCAGTGGCCCCCCAGCAACACACACAGACACCATGCTATATGCACGGGGCACTCTGTCTGTCTAGCCCAAAGCCATTGATCCTTATCCAGCAGAGACTGGATTGTCCCATGATGTCAGAAAACCTGGCGGTCTTCCTTCAGCACTGCCGCCAGGTTCACATCAGATGTCTCCCTCAGTCGAACCACTCTGTCCTGCCACTGAGGAGGTGGGACTGTGAGCTCCCTGAGAATCACTCTAATATGATTACCCTGGCTCCTCTGGTCTTAGAGGACGTTTTGTCACAAAGACGGTAAAGCACCAAAGTGTCTCCAAAATCCACTTTGTTCATTTAACAGCCACACATGACAACTGATGAAGCTGAGCGGCGTCAAAGAGAAAAGGCATCAGCTGGAAAACGAATGTGTGACAGAGAGATAATGTGTGGTTTGCTCAGAGTTTTAAGGTTAGGAAAATAACATCACAGGGAACCTGTAAGAAATATCACACATCAAGCCACATTATATTACTGTTATCTATCATCAGGTAAAGCACATCTTGCACATCATGTTCAGTCGCAGAGCAGCCCTAAAGTTTAAAAGGAATGTTGAGACCTTTAAATATCTCAATCTATGACAACCTTTCCCTCTGAGATTTCTGGCTGGACATTCTCCCACATGTTGGGGCTTATTTCCAGCCCCTAGTATTGTGCCAGAAATAAAAAAATGACAGCTGTTTTCCTCTGAGAGGGAGTCTCTTCTGCAAAGGCTTTTTAATGACTCTTCTCGGGGACCTCTTTATTCGAACAGAGGTGTTGACAATCGTGAAAATTCTTGCATTGAGCGTGCATGAATCTGCCATGTGGTCAGTCAGCTCCTCTGCCTGGACAGGAGAAAGATGAAGACAGTCCTGGAATACACTGGACCGACTCCAAAAGCAGTCATTCAATCAAGTTCACTTTTCAGTCCAAAGTGTTTGGCTTCATCTCCGACTCTGTCAGAGACCACAAACATGGCTACCATCAACCTCCGCGCAGAGAGATGAGGCTTAACTAAATGTTCACTCGGGAGGATGAAAAGTCCAACAGAGACATTTGTCTTCCTGTGGGACAGCCTGAATTAGGCCATGCCTTAGGTTAAAAAGTGCACAGAGCACAGAACAACACCTGGTCTGTCAAAGTTGGCAATGGAAAGTTAAGAAGCATCTGAGGCAATCATTAACTGTCGTCCGACCCATGAATAACAGAGACAGATGAAGAATTTGAGATTCATCTTGCGTGGATCCATTATAACCAGGAAAAGACACTGTGGGACATTACTCTGCCAATGAAGTGCAATTTTATTTCTATCTAAGGCCCTATTAATGTGAATATTCTCAGAGCCCTTTTCCATGAGATGCTATGAGCATGAATCATCTTTCCAAACCTGTCACTAAAAATTAAAAATACACATCCCACCTTTATTTTGGGCACTGAGGTTAAGGCTGATATACAGAGCAACATAGGTGAAAAGGTGAGTCATTTTATTGAAAGGAATACTTCAACCACAAACTATCAGTTGTAAATCAATTACCCACTCTGTGTTTCAATGAATTTATGAAAAAAAAAAAAAGTTTTTCTCACATGCCTCCACGGGGAACATAGAATCCAAAAAAATCTTGATAACTGCAGAAATAGGGGAGCATTAGCAGTTTAACAACAGCAAAACTATATCAAAACATGCGTTTACAAACTGTCACACAGCTCCTGTAGTATTATCCTAGTCTCATTTATCCAGTCGTATGTTCAGTACTTCCCAAACACATACATTTTTGCTAACGTTACTATTTAAAACACTTAAAGAGTGCAGGTGTGCTACATGCGCATGTGTAAGACTGCACATGTGGATGTGTTTAATGAGGTTTTAGCCAAAATGCATGTGTTTGGGATGTACTAAGAATTTGACTGGATAAATGAGACTTGGATTGTGCTGCACGAGTTGTGTGAGAGTTTGTAAACAGATGTTTTGGTGTTGTTAAACATGCTCCCCAGTGACTTCAACTCATCAAGCATTTTCTCCATTTTAAGATTCTTTGATCACCGTGGAGGTATGGGGGAAAACCATTAAGTTCAATGTTAACATGGGGTGAGTAATGATCATTTGGGAGGTGAAGTATTCCTTTAAATAAGTGTTTTATTTTTCACCTGTGTTGCTCTCTGTAAGAGCCTTACCATCAATGCTCAAAATAAAGGTGTGACATATATTTTTAATAGTTAGTGACAGGTTTGCAAATGGTTGAGTAATTTACATACAATTGATAACTTGGGTGTATATTCCATTAAGTAACTGAAGCTATACCACATCAAAAAAGTACTACATTTATAAGGTTGCTTCATCTGAATCCCACACAGTTTCAGTTTTATTTGATGTTTTAACAATCCCATCCTCTGCCTCCAGCACAGTGCAATGAAAGTGAATGGAATTTTGATTGTGGTATACGCATGACTAACAAAAAAAAAAAAAAAAAAAAAAAGTCAAAGTGTGTTTGCTGTTGATGAAAAAAAACAGCCCATTTCCAATGCTGTGAGTATCACCAATAGAATTCCATCCACCTCTATTATATTGAGGTGACAGCAAGAATCTCAAGAGACGAATGTCTCAAACACCTGGTCAAATAAAACTGAAACTAACTGCGTGGCTGAATACCACCAGAGATAAGTGATAAATCTGCCTTTTTGTAATTTATGTGAAGCCATCATTGTGTGTATGAGGCCTGCATTGAATGTAGTCGCTGTACCGTACAGGTGTGTCTGCTGCAGTAAGATGTATTTTAAGGGGTACTCCACCCATTTTACACATCTGTAAAGTCTGTCAACAGTTCATAAGGGAGTTCTACTGCATACACAGGTGGAGCCGGTATTCAGATCCTTTACTTGAGTAGAAGTATTTATTACCACACTGTAGAAATATTCTGTTATAAGTCAAAGCCCAGCATTGAAAATGTTATTTAAGTAAATTAAGGCATAACCCTGTACTATTAAAAAAAATATATTCACTATCAAAAGTAAAAGTACTCAGTGCAGAAAGATTTAGATCTATTTAATGAATCAGAAATACTTCAAAGAAAAAGAAGCAAGTCCTAATTTTTAAGTAGCTTGAACTATGAAATGTGTTTGCATGAAAAAAAAAACTTCAACAATTACAAAAATAATTTCCAATTAATTTTCTAATCATTCAACTAATTGTTTCAGCTGCAAAATCTCAATTTCTAAGTATTTTAATTCAAGTTATCAAATGATTGTAGTGGAGTACAAAGTAAAATATTTCCCTCTAGTGTAGTGGAGTAGAAATAGAAAGTGACATAAGATTAAAACTCAAATTTGTACTTAAGTACAGTTCCATCTTTAAGTTACATCCCACCGAGTGCATGAAGAAAAAAAAAGTTGCATAAAGCTCTTCTTATGACATAATGAAATATTTTGCTTGACACCAAATCAATTTTATGAAGTTAATACAGCTGTGAGATCGATAAAGTAGGATTTATAAATGAGGCACTTTGGCAGGATCCGATGCTATTGTTGGGATCGGGTTTGTGGTCTTTGAGCTAAGAGCGCACGGGCTACAAGAGCTCTGTAAACAAAACTCCTGCTGTTCGAAAGTGCAGACGCTATGAGTATCTGTTTACTTTATGTTCATTGCAAAAGACAGATTGTCCATGACATAATCTGTTTATGAAAATTCAAAGCATTAAGCGTGGAGTGCTGAATTAATTTATCATATCATAGCCAGCTCTGCACATGGTCACAGTGTGATAGCCATAACCACTTTTCATAAACGAATGCGGCCATTATCTCCATGTGCTTTGTCATTCTAATAGCTGTGGAAGACACAGACGAATAAGCTGAATGGCAGACCCGTGACTCTCGCTGCCAAGTTGGATGTTAATGGAAGCTTTTGAAGAAAGATCTGATCCACTGGCCTTCACGGATACAGATGGATCACACATGGATGCAGAACTGATGCGAGGAAAGAATTTTCACCAACATTACTGTATGAACACGATCCAAATCTTTGGACAGCTAGAATAAATTGTATATTT